AGGACATATTGGTGGCCATTCACAATTAATTTCATCGGCGCCATCTGGACAGTTCCAATGTCCATCACATCGTGTATATGTGTTATTGCATGGGAAGTAATCACATTCTGTCTCATCGGTTTCGTTGCGTCCATCGATAAGTATAGGAGACAGTTCGATATATCCATCGCATATCGTTTGAAACGCGACTATTGTTCTCCAGTCTATCACTTCTGATATTCGTTCATCTGAGCTATCTACACAATCGGAATGCTCATTACCCACGAGTACATGAGCAAGGCATACTGTTTTGTTGCCTATGTCACATTTAAAACGATAATTGGGAAAATTAAGTGAACAACTTTCGTTATACGATTCATCGTCTTCATGCAAACAATCTTGAATTTTGTCGACGAGGCGATGTTGTGAAATGATTTTTGACGAGTTAATGCATTCATACAAGTTAGAGTGAATTGATGTTGATAAGGGTTGGTGATAGCTAGAACATTTGTAAAATAAGCCGTATAAATAATTTACTAGCTCATTCCATTCATCGACTTCATTGTAAGGTATATTGAATTCATCGAAAGATCGGCATGTGCTATTGTAACCACCGATACCCGTAACAGGACCCTGCACAGTAGGAAGTAGATCTTTGCTGCAGAGCTCTTCATTGTAACATATATAATCAGGTCGGACAAACCAAAATATTGGCGACGAAAAATTCAAATTCTTCTAAATAGACAATATATTTCAAGCAGACGATCGAATATTCAGTAGTAATAATGAAGCGAACAAACAAATGATCTGAATGTATTTCAATTCTCGAATACATTTAATCAAAGTGAAACAATTCATTAATCCGATGTGGTACATTTCGTCCATGTGTATCTCTAAAGCTATGCAATCATTGCAAATCATCCAATAAAAGATCAAGAATATCGAACAGAGGCTTTCTGGTGAAATTTTTCGTTCGGACTTTCCATGTGAGAGTTACAATTTTATTTCTCTTACGCACGTAACACTCCAGTCTTTCTGCTCTACATGTTTGCATGTTAAAAGTATGTACGGAGGCCAGCTTGATCTTCGGTCTCATTTTGCATTTTTGAACTTAACATTAACAAACAAAGAAAATCAAAATAAATCACTACGACTAGTAATAACTTTGACAAATATTTCAATATTATGCTCCTGTTTCAGTATAAAGTATGCAGTCGAGCCAAACCATGAAGAAAATTAAAAACTACAATATGAGATCGCCATTCCTTGTTTTTACCATTCATTTCTGTATCTCTGCAACTGATATAAAATAGTTTATTTTTCAAAACTAAAGATCCCTTAAAGACGAATATAGCTTCCATAAGACAGCCGAGACACTATGGACGCACGAGTCCCAGTCGTGACTAGATGAATTATTACTGATCTGACTGGATACCCAGTCGAATTGTGTGCAAACCGCTACTGAATATCAAATGAATTTATTAGTTAACTCCGAGTACGATGATTTGGATCTCTGAATCCCACGGGAGCTAATCGTAACCGGCATTTGTTTTCAGTGTATTCCTACGAAAAAGACGCTGGAACCAGCCAGAAATACAACCAGAAGATGGAAGCAGTATTTCATTCAACATTACCGTACCCGAAAACAGCAATGAAAGGATATGCCACGCAACTGAAAAATTAAAGGAAAGCGTTCGAATCCCAAAGAATTTCAAAGGAACCCGGCAGAAACCATTCGTGCCTCTCAGGAAACACATGAGAATCCGCACGGGTTACAGCGGAAACATACTAGAAGAAAGAATCGCATCCGCCAAAGACTTTGAGGAGTGATTAGTGATAAAAAGTTATATTAGTAATATCTTTGTTCGAGTTCATGACGCAAATGAATTACAAAATAATTCAAAATTTCTATAATACATATTTATAGAAGTATATGCTATAATTATAAGAAGTTTATTCTCATATAGCAAGGTCTAGCAGGATCTACCAGGACCTCCAGGATCTACCAGGATCTACCAAGACCTATCAGGATCTACCAGGACCTACTAGGATCTACCATGGTCTACTAGGATCCACCAAGGTCTACTAGGGTTTTGCGGTACCCACATCGAAGGAGACGTGATGTAAGTCGTTTCGCCGCACCCACACCAAGAGAGACGTGATGCAAGTTGTTTCGTGGCACCCACATCGAGACTGTAGTAGACACTAGTAAATCCCGGCAGACCTGGAAATTCTGGTAGATCCTGGTAGGTCTTGGCAGATCCTGATAGGTTCTGGTAGATCTTGGTAGATCCTGGTAGGTCTTGGCAGATCCTGATAGGTCCTGGTAGATCTTGGTAGATCCTGGTAGGTCCTCGTAGATCCTGAAGGTCCTGGAGATCCTGGTAGATCTTGGAGGTCCTGGTAGATCATGGTACAACATAAAAATTTCGAATTATTTTGTTATTCATTTTTTTTGAATTACTTTGTAATTCAATTCCATCATCCAGTGCTTTGTTCGATGAAACACTTCACTTTAGAGGATTTTTAAGACTCAACTCTAAATTTTAGGAAAAAAAGAGCTTTTTTTGATCTTTTCTTTTCAAGTAAACTGTTTTAAGGTACTTTTTAGACCGAGATTCCTAAAACGATATAGCACGATTTTGCCAGATTTTTTAGCGTAAATCAAAGAACTTGTTGAGGTATAATAAAGAGCGACTGGTTGACGTATTTTATGTCCTTGTGGAATAGCTTTTTAAATATCTTGCCTGTTGCGAATTGTAGATACGGAAAAGTAATAAGAAGGTATTTGGTAGTGTCATTTAAGGTAGCATTGAGAGTTTCTAGGTGTTTACAGATTGCATACAGGGAGAACCAAAAATTTCAAAAAGAGCTTTTTCATAGCGCTTAAAAATTCTGCAGCAATACATTGAGGGTATAGTATGGGGCTATGAGTGTTCTTACCATTTGCCATTGCTCACACTGACCCAAATAGCCGCCACTACGTGCACAAAAATCGTCTATTTATGTAGTGGAAGTTACCAATGTAATTGAGCGGAAAGTGCTAAGTTGAGGAGGCGGGGCGCCGAAGTATCTGGTGGTCGTATCTGGTTGCTCGATTGAAGATCTACAGCCCACTATAAAACAGTCGGACACATGTTTCGTAATCGGATCGACAATTATCCGAGATGGACGATGTCCTATCCTTCCGAGGAAAACATCCGAATTGTCATCAGGTAGCTTATTCGATCGGGTAGCAGTTCGAATTGGAGGGAAATGTCCAGTTACCATTCAATTTGCTGAACATTTAGTAGCATTTTGCATAGAGCTCCACTGGACTGATGCATGTCCACCGATGCATGGGTGAAAATGTTTTTTTTATTTGGCATCCTTATCTGAATCAGCTATTCTGAACGTTTTCCCATTCGAAATATTAGTCTATTCGATTGAATTAGTCAAAAAATTAGCCACAACTAACTTTTCGGTAGGTTAGAAAAAACGTCGGAATTCTGTGCAAACAAGTTTTAATGGTAGATTTTCATAGAACTCGCATAGTACTCAAAGGTTGATTGTGACTTAAAAGCAGATTCTCTGAAAGTTTGAATGTGAGGTTTTTAACATCGCTGATTCGGATGCATGTGTCGAATCAATCAAGCGAAAGCTTCACTAGCATATTGTTTCAGAGCATGATCCTTGTTAGTTTCTTAGGTGCGCTCTTAAATCGGTAGCAAACAGACAAGTTCACTATAGGAAATTTGTTAGTTTCATTTTTAAATTTATCAAATATCAATTCAGTTTTAGTCGGATAATTAAACAAGTTACTTACAAACTGCTGCTCATGCATTTTATTATGATAATAAAAGCTTGTTAGCGCAGCCTCTTTGGGACTGAAATGTGAAACTCGCTTATATCCTTTAGTCTCATTAAACTAATATAAAATATGCAAAATGAAAAATCTCTCGTAGATTATAGTTGTCTCCCAAGATAATCGATCAGCAAAGCAGGAATCTCTTTTATTTATTTCTGCGTTCTGAGCAAAAATTTTTCCTTTTTTTGGCCCTCCTATTTTTGTTTTGTATTATTGCTTTTCTCTCGTTTTGTTTTCATTTTCGTATTTTGTTTCTCTTAATTTCACATTATTATTTTTCTAATTACTGTTTTAATTTGTTAAGAAGACTGCTTTAAATATCCATTATATTTACAGAAAGTGTCAACAGACTATTATATATCTCGATCAGTTCCCAAACACCGATGTTGTTTATTTTTGAGAGTTATAACTTGATAAAATCACCATTTTTAAGTTGATCAAATAACAGCTGTCTAAAACTGATGCATCACTCTCCATCATCGTTGATATCTTGGATATAAATTTTTATTTGCACAAAAATCAACAACTGCACTACTCAGAACATTGACAAATGTGTTCTATGCGCTCAAATTTCGAGGAAATCTTTTGAATGTTCTAGAATAGTTTAGTAATTGGTGTCTGTAATGGAAAGGGGTGGAGGAGCCGGCAAACTTCGGTTTAAAACTTACACTCACTGTTCTCTTCAAAAATATACTCGAGTTTCCCAAAACCAAAATCATTATGGAATTATAATATTTGTATGCTTTAAAATCAAGCTAATTATCTTTACAATAACCATCTCTTCCACTTATTGCTAATCATTTCTTTTCAGTTAAGAAGTAGTTTGAAAAAAATTCACCATTGACTACATTCATGATTGACGACTATCAGATATGAAGTTTCTCTTGATTTCATCTAAGATTATCAGTCAGAGTTTAGATAATTTTAGAAACGTTCACAAGACTGTAATCATTTATCGGCAATCTGTTAGTTTCCACATGACTTGAAAGTAGTATAACATAAAGGTATATTCCGATGTCAATCAAGTCATCACAAAAGATGATTTCAGTATAGAAAGACGGAAAGTCATTTTCTAGAGGTCTAATGGATGAGAGACGTCAAAAACAAACATCAATATGAAGTAAGGATGAAGTCAAGACTTACTACATATGTATGTAGATTTCTAAAACGCACTTCAGTTATTTATCATTGATGTACTCACATGAGACTGATCATTTTTGTAAATGAAACGCACATGACCGAATAATAAAGGTGGGAATTCAATAACAAGTGGGCAATGTTGTTTAGTAAGTTTAACATAAGTGGAAAGCAGACTCATGTTGTGCACTTTGCTTGGGTAACTAGCAAACATTGAAATGCCCGTTAAAGAGGCAATAGCCTGGCGGCATTCTTCGGAAACATTTACTCCTCGAAGAAATGCACTTGTTAATATTTCAATTCGATGATTTCTGCAGTTATATGAAAATGTTCCAGACGATGAACCATCGCCGCACGGGATAGTTGCATATTTATCCGTTGTCCGGCGAAACAGACGTTCTTCACACCGAAAATCATGTTCTGCGTAGCAATCTGCTATTTCTCTAGAATCGAATATCCATGATCGCAAAATAACATATTCATCGCTTTGATCCAAACAGTCAGGATATAGTAAGTCATCATTTAGAAAATCTCGAGGAATGCATTGTCCATTGTGGCATCGATATTCTGTTTCATTATCACATTCATTGATCTCCAATTGCCAACATTGTTCTTCGTCACGTCCACCATCAAGACAATGAACTTCTCCATCGCATATTTCACGCCAATCAAGACATGCACCTGGTGTTTGACCATGATCACCTGTACGATCACATTGTAAATGCGTATAACAGGGTAATATATCAGGAATCTGCAACCGGTATACATCAGTGCCAAAACGTTTTAGAACTTGCTTTGCAAAAGAAAATTCAGGTTTATCGAAACTATATTCGCAATGGGAGCCAAACCATGGAAAAGTGCAGTTATAAAATATAAATGAACTTGGTGCTGAATGATTATCAAGATAGATTTGATAATTTTCAATAAGATCGACAGGTGCTGACCATTCAATCAACATTTCGCTGGTTATGTTCTGCTTGCGTAAATCTTCAAATGTAAACCTACGATGCTCACCAATATCATCTGATACATCTTCTTCAAGCTCCGAACAGATACAATATTCGATTAGTTGATAGGTCGAACGTCGTTCTAAAACTTGGTAATATAAACAATCACGATAAAGACCATTTCGTAGATGATTAGTATGATAGAGATTGAATCCAGAAAAACTTGAACAATAATTCATGAAAAACCAATGAACGATAAATAACAGTAAGAAATTCATCGTCGAATTAATGATGTGCATTTCTACACTGAGGCATACTTATATATAGATCATCAATTCTTATTCCATTAATTAAAAGCAATAACAGGTGTTATTGCTTATGCAAGTTAGACGCTTGTATGACTCGTAGGCGAGTGAAGCATGATATCTTAAATTATTGCGTTAGATTGAGTTTGCATTTGGTCTTATCATGAATAGCTAACATTCACAGAAGATATTGCTTCCGCTTTGAGCGGTTGACAACATAAAAGAAAGTATGACTTCTTCTTTCTTGCAAAGTTAATGTTAATCAATAGTAAGACGTCATCACTTTTTCCAGTGTGGAAGAGTAAACTATAATAATTTAGAAGATTACCTTACTCTAAAAATTTCTATTCGAATTCCTTATCACTATATCCAACAAATCGCATATGTTCCATAATTGTTGCAACAAAGTTCATTCTAAAAGTCTTTCGGAACAAAAAATGAGTAAATCTGTGAGTTGTTTCACAATACATTTTAGAATTTTTCATACTGAACAAATTCTTTTGACTTTTTCTCATAGCTTTTTTAGATAGCGTTCAGTATAGAAACTAAGAAACTATGGATACAACTCGATACTTCACATTCAACGCGATTTAAAACATTTTTGAACGTTAATTTTTTTTTCTCTTCATGCAAATGAAAGTTCCATCAATGTTTTCAAATGTTATGTATGCAATATATTGTTCGTGAAAAAGAAATGAAGACGTATGCCATTTCTATGATTTTTGAACGGAAAACAATTTGATTGAATATCAAAATGTGATTAAATGAAATAGATAAACCTATTAAAATACATATTTTCTGTTGAATGAAAGTCGCTTTACTTCGAAAATTTTTGAAGAAATAGATGCATTCAGTTAATTCAACGAATTAGCTATTTGATCTCTCTCATTGAATCATAATTAATAGAATATTAGTTGATATGTTATATATTCTATTGAGAAGTCAACAACATCATCTATTGAACTGATACGATACACTTATTAAATTACTTCGGCAACAGTCATCGGAATTGAGAGACAGCAAAAACAAAGAAAATTCTCTCCATAACGCAGCCAAAGAATTATTTCTTAGCTTGGAGAAAAAGAGTGGTATTTTTTCTTGAGATTTGCTTTGACTGTTCAAAGTGTTTACAAGTATATCATTTGATTTTTTCATGTGGATCGTATGATCATCGATGACAGACAAAAATAGATGATCTTTGATTGACGATAGGTTCTAATATTTTTTAAGAAAATGTTTTCTCTTTAATCCACGGTCACAATGGGCCAACGATAATTGTTATGATAAGACTCTCCGTAGATTTCATTATCATATGACTTCGACTGACTGATTTTTAGCTTGTTTTTGTCAGAAATATATGAGTTTTCTCATTTCTTTCCTTTCCTTCACTTGATTTAAAACATCTCTTTGACTAGATTAAGCACCGTCTTTTTTATTATGCCAGTTACATGGCATTGAGGCTATTCACTGAAATAAGTTTACTACAAGCTTTTCGAAAATGTTGCATTATTCTCTTGCTATTTTGTTTAGTTTAAATAATATGGAAAATACCATAAACGTTATTGTGAATTGAGAATAATAGTCTTTCAAAATCTTTTTTTTTATACATTGACAGATGCAGAGAATGTGTGATGAACAAATTGCCCAGAATAAAATTGTATTTTATAATGAAAGTTGATAAATAGAAATAAATGAAATCATCGAGGTTTTTTCTTAAAAATCAAACAAATATTTCATTGAATAGACTTTTTTTTATCAATTTTTTTTTATTTTTCGTCTTTGATCGTTTCGTATATTTATCTTCTGTCAAATAAAAAGCAATCAACTCAAATTTGACCTGATTCTATCAGTGAAAAACGAGAACTAATAATATACTGCATCAATCCTCACACCATATTAATATAAGAACTGTAAGTTAATAAACTTGTCATCGTTTCTCATATCACACGGATAAATATTCCAATGAATTTTCTTTTCAGTATAGGTTTTTTCAGCCACGTATGCATTTATTTGTTCTTTTTATTCAATATTCATAAGTTACTTTTATTTAGTGAAGTATAATTGATCAGATTTCTAGGCGGCATCGTTCCTTATTTTTGTTCCTTTTCATCCTCAATCATCTTCTCATTCAATATCTCTTTATCAATTTTATCAAGTTTAATCGTATTACGCAAAAAAAAACTATAATTTTATTTCGACGTCTAAAGGCGATTCATTTTGAAAGAATATCATGATTAAATTGCATAAGTTGACGCTTCAATGTCGATTTGATAAAACGCACGACTAATCTACAAACTATCTTACGTGTGGGTGTGGCTGGGTGTAGAGTGTGGGTGTCGGTGTGGGTGTCGGTGTCGGTGTGGGTGTCGGTGTCGGTGTCGGTGTCGGTGTGGGTGTCGGTGTCGGTGTCGGTGTTGGTGTCGGTGTGGGTGTGGGTTTGGAGTATGAATGTGGATGCTGTTGTTCTTTTAATCACACCCACACCGACACCCACACTCTACACCCAGCCACACCCACACCCACACCCCACACCCCACATCCACCCACACCCACACCACATCCACACCCACACCCACACCCACACCCACACCCACCCACACCCACACCCCACACCCACACCCACCCACACCCACACCCCACACCCACACCCACACCCACCCACACCCTATATACTTGGAAAAAACCAACTGAAGAAAAAATAAACCATGTCAAGAAAGAATAATAATGATCAAACGAAACTGCAACCAACAGATATTTTCTAACACGATGGCTGTTTTGCCAATGATATTTTTCTTTTTATTTAATTTGAAATGAATCGCGAAAGTTATGAGAAGCATTTCCGACGACTTATTTTCGCATGGTTCCATTGGACGTTTTTAGAATGTGAGTTCACTGTAAAAAAAAGAGTAGAAGAAGGATGTGGGGTGTGGGTGTGGATGTAGGTATGGGTGTGTGGTGTGGGTGTGGGTGTGCATGCAGTTCTTGATCATCTATATACCCACACTCAATACCCTTTCACATTATCTCAGGATCGATGT